GGGTGCATGTGTCCCTTCGAAACAGCATACCTGTATCCCGTGGATAAATGCCTAGTAGTGCAATTGGTGGGTCGTAGGGTAGTTCTATTTTTAATTTTTTGAGGAACCTCCAGAGTGGCTGTTTTCCAGAGTGGCTGCACCAGTTTGCATTCCCACCAACAATGCAAAAGAGATGGGAGGTTTGTCTTAAAGGTTACTTCGCTATTTCTCAAAGGCCAGGACGTCTGGAATGCCATGTCTGTAGATTGTCATACTTTTTGCCTTTTGGGTAACCAGGTGAGAGGTGGAGCTGTGTGGCTTGCAAATAAAGATTTAAGTACTTAAAATGCAAATTATGTAGGTGCTGCTAATGGAGCCAGAGGGACTTATGTGTCATATTCATTGGTGATTTTCAGCCTGAGTGATGGAGTAAGGGTTATACTAATGCTGGAAGATGAGACTGTTAATTATTGCTTGTGAATGGGTCAAGAAAAATGGAGAAATACTGGAATAAAAAGAAAGGCAGTGGGTCATAATTAAACTCACACCTATTACTTTGATGCAGAAGTCCGGACATAGAATCCCATGGTTTTTAAGTTTCTCAAAACATCTTCGTACTGCTCACAGCTCGCTGTAGAAGCTTCCGTTTCTTGCTCTTCCCTTCTTTTGATATGTATTCTCTGAAGCATACATCTCGCACCTTCTTTCCATTGGGACTCTTAGCTTTGTCATGGCCAGCACTGCAGAAGCTTCTAACGTTGGCTGGGCCATGTGAGGAACTCGGAAATCCTAGCAAACCCACTTCTCCCGCTGAGTTGTGGTTATATAGGATCTTCCCAGGAGCAGGACAGTTTCCCAACATTTGGTTCATTGACTGGTCTGAGCAAGGTGAAGGCTGAGGTTCGTAGTCAACTGCACATCTCCGCAGTCTGCATCTTACGGCCCACAGGACATCCCTTGAGTGTAAGTTTAAACTCTTTTGAATCTGCAAACCTTGCTCAGGGCTCAGTTAGCTCTATGTCCCTTACAGTTCCCACTAAATTAGCTTTCCCAAATTTGGAGAAACAGGACTCTAAGGCAAGTGCCATACTGGAATGTGACTAGACTCTTTTTTTTTTTTTTAAGTTTATTTATTTCTTTTGAGAGTGAGAGTGAAAGCCAGCGCATGATTGGGGGAGGGGCAGAGAGAGGGAGACAGAGAATTCCCAAGCAGGATCCATGCTCCCAGTGAAGAGCACCACACGGGGCTTCAACTCACAAAATTGCCAGATCGTGACCTGAGCCGAAACCAAGAGTCGGACGCTTAACCGACTGAGCCACTCAGATGCCCCAAGAATGTGACTAGACTCTTAACCCCACTCCCAACCTATCTCCTTCCTTTGCAATGACCTGCCTTCCGTCTCATGACAGAGGACTCTAGAAAATGTGCACTGAGGCTGTACTTACCATTCTGTTCTAAAGGAAGAATTCCATTTCTGTGTCTCAGAGTTAAACCGTTGGGACATCCTGCTGCCACCAGTAAATTTAGAGCATACTTCTCCTTTGAATGTGTAATGATCACCACCCCGGCAAATAGTGCTCGTAAATGGGTATGGCTTGGATCAACCCATTCACAAGTCTGCCAAGGGAGTCATCTTGCAGAAAGAAAGTGGTAGAAACAGGGCATAATTCTGACCAGGACCATTTTAGATGTTTCCGCAACATGTGGTTCACGGTCTGCCTGTGCTTTTCTTGCATCTTGACAAAATAGTTACAATTTTACATCATCTTAGAAGGGATAGAAGGGTGACTTCTATTTCTAAATTGGAGTAGGTGATTTGATGTGCAGTCATGCTACCATGTCTCATCCTTACTAATGACTCAGTGAGTTATATTTCTCCCCCTAGAATTTAAGTTGTTAAGTTGCACAGCTGTATTGTGATATCTCACATGATATTATAATATAGGGGAGGTGTTGTGACTTGTGGGGACATAACCAATCCTACGTCCTCTTCATACTGTGTTTCTGTTGCATTATCTGATTTCAGTAAGCAAATGCAAGTCACATCATATATGAAAGCACTTACTTATTCTTGCCTTGAGTAAAACTTGAGTTTCTTTGGACTTCCAAGAAACCCAGACTCTGATGCAAATGTTTTTTTCATTTTACGTTATCTAGATGTATATATATGTACGATGATATATTTATTTGACTCATATTTGGAAGCTTCTTTTGGTTCCTTATCTGGCTTCAGACTTTCTCCTTATAGACTCAGCCCCCAAGGGGACCGCCACCTGCATATGGATTCCTTGGGGCTTTGTCAAATTACCCTTCTTGTCCCTGTTGTGTAGGTCATTTGATATCGTCCTCTCATAGCAAATCACCTTGATTCCAAAATGGTAATATCATATCCTGAGAGCTTACAGTATCTCTTGGCTGCTATGAAACCTTGCTCCATTATGAAGATAATTCTTTTGGAACAATAAAAGTGAAATCTTTTCCCATAAAAAACTCTTGAGAGTATATTAGAGCGAATTTATCTTATTCTTTCTTAAAAATTGTGTCAGATCGCCCCCTTAAAGGTTATAAAAGCCCATAAAAATATCAAATCGCTGCACACTTGTCTACCAAAGTGTCCTTTCTCTTTTATTGTGTGTGTGACCATGGAGTGAGTCACGGTGGAAGATGCGGTGGGGGGGGGGGGCGCAAGAGAAATATTTTGTGTGTTAATCCAGCACGAAGGTACTTGTTATTCATTTCCTGTAATCTCAGCCTACCTTTCCCATCTCTTCCATATGGAACTTGTCAAAGGGGCTTTGGCTCTTCATTGCTTCTGATGAGGGAGAGTTTGACAGAAGTTACTGATTTCCCCAATCACAGTGTTTTTGGAAACTTCTTACTCCTCTAGGAAAACACTTTTCAACTTTCTTAACACTTTAAATGTCCTGATGGAAAAGGACCTCAATGTGCCTTCTGATGGCCATCCATTTAGTGAAATCATGCAGCTAAATAAACGTGCTTACATTAGTCAGAATTGCAAAGGGGGAAACATTTTCAGTAGCCGTGGTGATATGCATTGGCTGTGGTGTTCTTAAGGGGCCTGTTGTTACTTAATATTGCTAATTTTGAAACTAACGAAGTCTGGAGTGAAGAGATTCCAGAGGCTTGATTCAGCATATAATTGGGATCAGGAGGAAGTCTGTGTGTCAAGGTCACCGTGGGATGGAAAATCCTCACTCTTGGCCACACAATTAGAAGAGTCTAATTGGTATCACAGAGAATACCACCCTGTGGTCCCCTACAAAATTAGCTTATTATATGAAGAGACTGATTGCTAAGAATTTGTTTGGGGAGCGGGGGAAAGTGGAACAAGACACTGAACAGGAATATACAAGGCCGCAAAGCATCTGTGATTGTGGTGGCTACTTGCCAGGTAGCTGGGTCTGCTCCTCCCAGCCAGGTGAGTGGGACGGTGGCTTCATGGTGACCTAGTCATGCAGATGAATGCATTTTGATCTAAATATTGGAGTGACCCTTCAATTTGGGGTCATTTGAAATGCAGTGCATATATATCAGAGCCAGAAGGTCCCAGAACCCTGTGCCTCTGAACTCTTTCTCGAGACCTCCTTCCAACTCCTAAGGGAGCTCTTAGGATCTCCTCTCTCTCTGCGAGATGGCAGAAAGTACCATTTTAGGATCTCTTGCAGACATCATAAAGCTGCAAGTACGTAAAACGAGTAGTAGCCAAAATGGTAAGTCTTTGTCTGACTTCAGGGGAAATGACAGTGCTTGATGATGCTAAAGCAAAGCCTAATTAAGGGTTCATTTCTAGAGTTTCCAGTTAAGGGCTCCTGATGCCAAATGTGTGGCTTTTTTTCCAGCACGGACTTCATGAAGCTAGTTGCCCATCGGATGATGAAGAAAGTCTTAATTGTCCAGTATCCTGTGATGTTATCTACTCACATGTTGAATCTTTTTCCTCTGACCCTAAAATAAACAATCAAAGGCTGAATCTGAACAGGCCCTACCCACAGAGCCGAAAGCAGAGGAGCCCCCTGCTGCCGCCACACCTGCTGTCGGGCTGGACTCTGGACTGGACACCCGGGCTGAGGAGCCAGTGGAGGGGGCAGTGGTGAGCGCCGCCCCCTTCCCACCCTCCACCTGCCTTCTCTGCCACAGCCCTGCTCATCTCATGATCTCATTTCTCCCTTCTCATCCATGCTTCACTTGGGCCAAATCACCTCATCTGCCATGGCTCCCCAGGTGCAAATAGCCTTTGTGCCCTTGACAGTGAAACTTCATTCTCGTTTATGTTTTTAAAAGGACGATATCCAGACACCTGATCTTTTGATCTAGTGAAAAACGTCATATAACCTCAGGCTTGGTTCTCAAAAAAAGGGTGTCTTAATTCTTTTCTGAGACTCTCCTATTCATGGTAGGTAGGTTGTAGAACTCACAAATAACCAGCCTTGTTGCTGTTGTGCTCTGTCTGTGATGGGCTAGCAATGGCCCTGCAGGGAGGGACCAACCTGCGGGTGATAAACAGAAGGATACTAACTTTGTTGTCTACATATTGATTTCTTACAATGTTAGTTTTGTAGGTTGGTTAAGTCTCAGTGGCGGATGGAAACCCCATATTAAAAACCCTTGAATCTATAAAGATTCCTATGTGTACAACCATTTCCTCAAAACCACATCTGGTGTTCGCTCTTAAAAGAGGGACCTTGAGGTTGTATTCTGTGCAAGGGTGGGGACCCTCTGTCTGCTTGGAAACCCACTCTTACCCCGCTCCACACAGCCACATAACACACCAGGCTGAGCTCTCTACGCACCATATTGAGTTGGACAGTGTAGCGCTCATGAAAGCGACGATAACACCAAGGAAGATTTAATTCAGAATACTCATGGAGAGTGGAAAATAGTTTATGTATGAAATGCAGTTAAAATGTCTCCCAAGAATCTCAATCAGGTTACCATTCATTATAGTCTTTACAGAATCTGTACAAAGATGAAAATCAGCCTCCCTCTTCCCCAGAAGAACATTGCCTAGATTAGATAACTGGAGAAATTAAAGTTATATTTCTTGCTATCATTTTTTGTTGTTATTTTACCAGGAAGAGGGTAGGTCACCGGTCAAATCTATGGTTTATTAATAGAGTAGAAAATAAATAATAGGGTAAGATAGTGATGGGAAATACAGACTCAAGCAAAAGGATTTTCCACTTACAGAGTTGGACAGAGTTCTGCAGGGAAAACAAGAACTGTGCTCTGCTAGGTTGAGTCGCTGTTGGAAGTGCTGCTTACACGGACTTCAGATTGGAGAGCGCTGAGGCTCAGTCTCAGGGCTCCAGTGTCGGATTTTCTCCCACATTCGCTAGTGATCTTCATAATTCAGTGCAGATGCCCCCCCTCCATTGGGTGTCAGATTTCAAACTGTCCTCCCATGTTCCCTTTAAGGTGATTTAAATAACAAAGGAAGGGGAAGACACAGTTAATTTTGTTTTACTACTGTTAGAAAGGGAATTGATTTTCAAAAGACTACAGGTGACACCCGGGAGTTTGATATTGATGAGGTTCAGATGGTGATTTAGAAATGGCTTCAGTCCCAAAAAGTTGTCGCCAAATTTCTGTTTTGAATAGCAGCACAGACTTCATCCTCACCAGTACTTTGAAAGCACATGGATTCCGTGCCCCAGTGTAAGGCTTGATGCCAAAACACCCAGGGTTTTGAGCAAGGCTGTGTGATGTCATGCCATAGATTGGAGGTGTGAAATAGTAGACAAGCTCACGAGTTAAATACCAGCTGGAATGTCAGTTGTCCATGGTCCCCTCTCAGCAGGTCCTGGCCATGTACCAATTGCACCTATCCTTCTTTAAACAGACCTACAGGGGCGCCTGGGTGGCGCAGTCAGTTAAGCGTCCGACTTCAGCCAGGTCACGATCTCGCGGTCCGTGAGTTCGAGCCCCGTGTCAGGCTCTGGGCTGATGGCTCGGAGCCTGGAGCCTGTTTCCGATTCTGTGTCTCCCTCTCTCTCTGCCCCTCCCCCGTTCATGCTCTGTCTCTCTCTGTCTCAAAAATAAAAATAAAAAACGTTGAAAAAAAAAAACAGACCTACAGAAGTAGTTTTTGTTTTCAGAATTCAAATTCAGGGGCGCCTGAGTGGCTTAGTTGGTTAAGCGTCCAGGCTCAGGTCATGATCTCACAGTTTGTGGCGTCAAGCCCCACATTGGGCTCTGCATTGACAGCACGGAGCCTGCTTGGGATTCTCTCCCTCTGCCCCTCCCCTGCTTGTGCTCTCTCTCCCTCAAAAAAACAAAACCAAAACCAAAAACAACCAGAGTCCAAATTCATTGTTTTTTCCAATGAACAATATTAATAGCTACCCATTACTAAGCAGCTACTATATCAGACCTACCATGAAGATTTATAATCTTTTTTAACCAAGGTTGATTTAAAAAATATTTAACACACCATGTGGTACAACCATCACTAAAACCAGCTTCCCTCATGTCGGGTAAGGAGATATTGGACAGAATTCCTCTTTCTGAAAACACTTGTCTCCTAAAGCTTGTAAGTGAACTTTGGAGAATAAAAAACAATTTGGATTCCTTGTGAAAATATGAGGCAATTTGGAGAGTCCTACGAAGGATTCAGGTACCTGTCGAGACACGGAGGTTATGTGGGAACCACAGGTACAGCCCATCTGTGAGCCACCCTCTCTGAGGAGAAAACGTTCCAGTAACTCATTTTCCCATCTTCATACTGTCTGAAAAATGGCAACAGAAGAAGGCAGCTTACAGCAGCTCACTTGGACTAACACTCATCAAAGGTAGCTCCTGTCTCTGTGTCATAAATTGACATGCTTGGATCAGGTCAGTTCTCCATGTTCTCCCTTGAACTTAGGGAAACACCATCCTATAGAATGTAGTTTTGTCCTCGAATGTGGATTTACAGCTTCTTGCTTCCGGTCATAATCATGTAAGATAGTATTAGGGTTATTTTTTCCAAAGAAAGTTCTTCTCCCTTGCTAGATGTGTGATATTTAGTTGTAAAGACATAAAAAATTCACCTTGTGTTCTGAGAATTAATTAGTAGGTTGGCGATGGCTGTCATCAGTCAGGATTGGGTTGACATGACCTTTTGAGGTCCTTTTTTTTTTTTTTGCTGCCAAAATGTCACCACACAGTTATTATATTGAGTCTTGACAATGCATCTCATATGAGGTGAAGTTTGTGGTGGTTTTGTTAAAAAAAAAAAAAAAAGAGAAAGGCAAATGCAATTTCAGAAACAGGAAATCTTAACCGTGGTTCACAAAGAAACCTAGGGCTTTCAAGAGAAGTAATTATTACATTTTTGTTTGTTGTTCTATTCCCCTTTACCTAATGTTTTTAGTTTTTCCCTACAGTGCTAAATTGCTCCCGTATATCTGTAGGATGCATTTTATTTTTATCTATTTATTTTTTAACATTTATTTAATGTCGAGAGACAGAGAGTGAGTGGGGGAGGGGTAGAGAGAGAGGAACACAGAATCCGAAGCAGGTTCCAGGCTCCGAGCTATCAGCACAGAGCCAGACACAGGGCTTGAACCCAAGAACTGCGAGATCATGACTGGAGCTGAAGTCGGATGCTTAACCGACTGAGCCACCCGGGCACCCCTCTTAGGATACATCTTAAAAGCCAACACTTGTTTCTTGTCCAAATGTTTCCATGTTATATAAGTGATGGAAATCATCTTTAGGAAAATAGATGATCAGTATTTGTTTCAGATATATATCAGAAAATTAGGTTAAGAATCAGATAAAGATTTTTACCTGCATTTGTTCAATTTTCTTGTTAGAAAGTCACTTTCTAATTTTTTCTAAATTTCTGTCTGCTCCTGTATTTTGCTCTGATGATGTGAACTGGACCAATGCTTTTTTTTTTTTTTTTT